CGAGTTAGATGCAAATAAAGTATAACCAGCAGATATTTAGTGGTTTGATATTGTCCAAATCTATAATATACAACTTGTTCAATAGGTTTTAATAGTAATAAATTAAGTTGAATGTAAATGAACAGATTCGATGACATCTTTTCTACAAAAAAAATTCTCACTTAAAATTTGACCTTTTATATAGTTCATTTTGTAAGAAACAAAGCTCTTTATTTTGTAATACTTATTTATAATAAATACTTTTTGATAAAAAATTATCAATTTATCTATCTCAAGCTTAAATCGCTTTATAAATAATGTAGAAGTTATCATGCCAATATACATTTATATTTTAGATTTTTTTCTAAAATTCATTATCTAAACTTTTAAAGTTGATATTTTCTCAGTATCACGCATATATAATCAAAAACTTTAATAAGCTACCACTATATCAGACTATAGAAAATTTTTCAATTTTACAATTTGAGCTAGACATATTTGTAGATATTAAAGACAAAGAAAAGGCTTCTGAATGGTTTTTAGAATTTGAATTTTGGACAAAAACTATACCAGAAACTAGATATTATCCAATTAAAGAGAAGCAAATGCTTTTTTGTAAATTAAGACATTATATACATAGTGGTTTAGTCAAACAAAAACAAGAGAACAGAGAAATAAAACACATACAATCATCTTGTACACAAAATACAAACTACATAGCAACTATTTATCTTTGACTAGAGAACTGGTATATTAATAAATTTAGTCATGCATTGGAAGTAAATATAAAGTTTACATATAACCATGTAGTTAAATCAGCAGAATCATTAAGCTTTCAATAGATTAGTAGTGAAGTTCATAAAAATTTTTAGAACTCTTTAAAGATAGTTATTCCCTTGCATTAGCGATATATACCTATGAGAACAAGCTTTATTTTAGCACAGAAAATGAACAGGAATTATTAATATTACTCTCAGATTGGACAAGTAACTTTGACTATGACTATATTGCTAAACTATTTCAACAATACTGTGAAATGACACTTGGGGTCTGTAATGGTAGTTCTATGTTTAAGCATTTAGCAAATATTGTAAATAATTACAATAATTCAGATAAAGAAAAAGTGATTCTGCAAGAATATGATTAAATAATAAAAAGTTATATATTCTTTATATTGTAACTAGTCTTATGTACCAAGTATACAAAAAAATCTTACAAACCGGAAAGTTATGTTATATGGATACATTATTTTTATTTGAACCTCTCAATACTTAATTATATTGTTTTATACAAGCTACATTGTTGGCACCCTTCTACTAGAGCTGTTTATTACCTTTGATGCACTTGAAACTATATTAGAAAATGTGATCAATTTATTAAAAACTATTCTTCTACTCTATACTTTTTTTGGACACAGACTATTATTGGGCTCAAAGGTTTTTCTTACTGATAATTCAAGTGCAGAATGCAATACCTTAAAGTTATATTAGCCAAAAGGCAAAGATTTGTTAAAAAAATTTTTTTTACTACGTATAGAAATATTAAATGATATACTTTTAAATTATTTTTTTTTTTCTTGTTTAAAGACCAGGTACTATAGCTGATTTTTTATTATGAGTCAACGTAATATTTGTTATATGAGCGAGGATACAACTAGCCACATGTGAACTTTTTGGTACCTAATTTAAGTAGTCCGCCCAAAGGTTCTACACTAGCTACCATATCTACAACCCAACTACAGAAGTTGCTTATTTAAACCCTCTGACTTACGATCCTCCTATTACTAACCTGATTCACTACATATTGCAGATATAACAGACCTGACTCTTTTATTTCAACGGCCTAAGGGCTACTTTACCCTTGTACCAACTGCTTACCAAACAACTTTCCATGTCCCAAGCATGTAGTTATTGCCAGATTTAGTAACCGAAGCTACTTGCCCTTATTAGGTTCGTTCTGATCATAGTACTAGCCTTCTTTTTGGCCTATACTTATATGGACTGATTTTCACTACCTCCTAACTTGGGATTTGCCAAACGGGTTCTTGTAGGTTTTTTCCAGTTTCTTAGATTTGTAATATAGTAGTACATTATTGCGCCCACAAGCTCCCATTCAAGATGGTGGAACCAGGATTACAGATTTTATGCCTAATCGATCAGAAGCCACAATTACCGATCACAGATTTAACTCCAAAACATCACTAGTGGGATTCGAACTGTCAATCTGCCGCTTGGGAGGTGACACCTTGACCACTTTTCTAGGGCACCACACTCTTATACTTTTAAATTATTAATTAATAATTTTTAATTAAATTTATAATTTATAATTTATAAGGAATCTGTCTTCTATATACATTTCATATTCTCCAAGCATTTTGGAGATGGCTTTATAATTCAAAATATCATATTAGCAAAGAAGATCGAGTACTTATTATAGCAATTATAAGGAAAATTCTTTATGCATTATCACAGCCAGAAATAGACATATACCATTATCAAATGCAAAAATTCTACCACAGTTATCCCTAATTACAAAAACATTTTAAATATTTGTAGAAACGTCATTATTCTTGGATACTTTCCTTTCATTCACAACTGTGTCTCTGAGGAAATAATACAAATAATTATATAGAATGAAATTTTGGTATTCTCAAAGATATTGTATTTGTGAGAACTTAGGCTTATAATTGCATTTAAATTTTTTAATTCATTATTACAAAAATGAAAAGATTTTATTCATCCAATTACTTAGTTTTGCACACCAACATTCAGGGTACTTGCAAATTTCAAAATGCATTCTCTGTCCTGGCTAGGACACTGTTAATATAAATACTATACAAAAAATCTAGTACTGAAAATGAATTTCTTGTACTGAACATGGGGATGCTAACACCTTTTATACTATAAATACTGAAATTGGATTGTGCACTTGCTCGATTGACATGATTGGTATATTGTACAAATATCAGAGTATAGTTTTTATTAAGTTTAATGTATCAATATTTAATTTCTTACCATCATTAGCTTTCAATGATTGTATGCTATATACTTATATTGCTTTTGGTTAGTAAATACAAAAATGGTTAAATTTAATACATATAGTATTTAATTTTATTTTAATATTAAATTTTTTTTTTTTTTTAGAATTTATGGTACCAGACAGTTTCTTTTATGCATCATTGTATGCAGAATTTATTCCAAGAAATGAGGATCTGCAAAAAGAAGTGAAAACATCTGATAAAAATACAATTATATTGCATAGGTTTGTGAGCTTTCTTGTGCTATATGGTGTTACTATTTTAAAATATCCAATAAAAATTCTTAGATTTTATTATTAAAATTATTTGGAGTAATTCATTGTTTTTTTTTAATTAACTTATTATAAGAAACCAAATAAAACTATTAAAAAAATTAATACTTTAGAGTTTGCATAGTTTTTAGAAAGCATCCAAGATGATTATCAAAATAGTAGTGCACAATTACAAGCCATATTAAACAAATTTGCTAAACATTATAAAGCAACAAAATCAAAATCTACCCTTGACTTGTATTAT